CGCTCTGGACTGAGGCCCGCGAGCAGGCCCTGTGCGCCCCCGGGCTGCGCAAGACCAAGTACCGCAGCTTCCGCCGGCGGCTGCTCAAGTTCATCCCCGGACTCAACCGCTCCCTGGAGGAGGAGGAGAGCCAGCTGTAGGGGCGGGCCGGGCCGGAGCTATTTATTTATTTATTCTTTGCACCAGTGCGGACAAAGGGGTGGGGCCGGGCCTAGGGGACCCCAGGAGCCCAGAGCAGCGGGAGAGGGTCCTTGGTTCTTGGCTGAGCCTTGAACCCAGGTCCCAGCGCCCTTTACGCCCGCCGCCTCCCCTAACTCTCAGTGGGAGGGCGCAGGCAGAGCCCGAAGAGCTGGGGCCGGAGAGGTTGGGAGACCACGCGTGGGACATTCCCTCCTACATCGGGGTCCGTAGTGCCTTGTGGGGTGTCCAGCAAAACTCCCCCTCGGAGGGACCCGGTGCCACGAAGCCCTCCCCTCAGCTTTACTGTTTTCCACCCTTGGCCTGGGGGAGAAATGGCCTGTGGTGGGTGTTTCCCCGCACCCCACACGCTGACCCGGTTCCAGTTAACCAGCAGGCCTCTGGGGGGTGCTCAGGTGCCGGCCCCTCCCCCTCCTGGCCTTGACCCCCAAGGGCTTGGCCCCTCCTGGGGCCTGTAACTAAGTTGGGTCTGCTGGGCAGGGGTCCTGGGGTCGAGCCCTTCGGGCGTCAGGAATGTGGCCTCCAGGCGCGGGGCAGCGGGACTGTTGCTCCCTCCGCCTGTCCTTGCTTTCTGAACCACCATCTGTATAAAATTGACGGTTTTTTGCATCTGTGTCAGCGTGGTAACTGCCTGCGGGGAGGATTGAGCGAGGGCAGGCTCTGATGCCACCGCCACCCTGTGCAACACACACACGCAATTTTACATCTCATTTTCTTGGAGCCTGCAGCCAGAGAAACCATCTGGGGGATTTTCACTTACACGTATGGGCCTGAACCAGGGCCCCACACCCTTTCAGGACTGGGCCTCTGGGCGAGGCCCTCCCTAAACACCCACCACAGGCGAAGGCCCAGCCTGCACCAACTCCTTGATGGCCCTGTGTCAAACGCTCTGCGGGGGGTGTCCTCGCTCCTGGGGCTTGACAGCGCCCTGCTGGGGCCAAAGCCCCTTGTCATTGCCACTCCCCCATGTCAGCCCAGCCCCTGATGGCTCCATGCTTCTAGAACTCCTCCCTGGGTTGTCTGGAGTGACTCTAGCCCGGGCTGGGCTCGCCCACCCCACACCCACCGCTCCCCCTGCCTCCCCGCTGGCTTCCTGCTTGACTGTCCTGCTGTGTTTGGTGGGCAGGCCCCTCCCCTCCCGCTGGCCACTGGCGTTCTTAGCTACTGCTCCAGGACTCTGCTCCGCCTCCCAGAGTCCCACCCAGTTTAAACTACTGTGGCTCCGTCCTCTGTGACAGAGCTCTGTTCTATTTACTCATCACCGTCGGACATGGCTTGAACTTCATGGATTTTATTTGTGCCCCAAATGGATATACGATCCCTGGGTCATATATCTCCTTTATTTTTTGGCCCACTTCTAGCACATAATAGAACCTCAGTGAACAGTGTGTGCTGCAAGTATCTCCAGAGATGTCTACTATCCTTTGAGGTGACCGGAGCAAGAAACATGGCTCAGGTCACACAGCAAATAGCCAGCAGAGCCGGGCCTGAGGCTTGAAGCCCCGCGCCAGTGCCCTCTCCTGGAGTGACCACACACACAGAGGGCTACCTCTTCCCAGCCCGGCCGCTCCCACGCTCTTTCCCTGAACCGCTGCTCTTCCCTGCTGAATGGGTTTCCTGCTTCCTCCCCCAGCAGCCATTGCTCTCTACACACCAAACAGGAGATCAGACCTCGGCCCTCCTTTGCTGGGGTTGTCTCGGCTCCAGTGCTCCAGCTGCATGGTTTACGGGCGCCGTCACCACGCCCAGCTTCTCTGTTAACTGGAAAATCATCCGATCGGAAAACCACAAGGGTTTGCTCAAGGTGCTGGGGGGAGAGTGATGCCGGAGGGTGGCCTGGCTGCAGCGTCCCAGCAGCCAGGAGCTCAAACGGGACACACCCTCTGCGTCAGGACCTCTGCCACCGTGCTCCTCGGAAAGCAACTTCAGGGTCAGGAAGGGTTTGAGGAGCAGACTGGGGTGGAGAGCCTGTGAGCCTGGTGAAACGAGAGAGGATGAGGCAGACGGTGAACGGAGGCTTTTGAAGGGGAGGTCCCGAGGCCTCCTGGCCCAGGGAGGGACAGGTCAGGGGCTGCCCCTGCCCGTGGCCGCGGTCCCCGTCAGGTCACCAGGGTCCGTGTGTACCAACGGGGATGGTGGTTTGCAAGAGGCCTGCTCACCCCTCCAGAACCACACCCCCAGCCCAGCCCCGGGCGAGAGCTCTCTGCAAAGGGATCTAAGGGCCCAAGTGGGCAGAACTGGCCTCTGACTTCTACTCTTTGGCCCGTGGCTTATACAGTGTAGAATATTTACTGATTAATTTTACTAAACTGTCTTTACAAATTAAAAAATAAGCTCATCATGGGTTCCCCTAGAACAAAATAAAATTCAGACTCTTTACCATGGCCTCTGCACACTGTCCCTGTGGGCAGATAGATAACAAGAAGTCCGGCTCTCCTCTGGTTGACAGCGGCCAGAGGCACAGGCCCCACAACTTGGCACCTGGAGCCTTTGTGCCAGCAACGACCCCTGCAACCCACTGACTGCCGTCCTCAGGCCTCAGGTCAACAAACACCTGCTAAGGGCACATTTCTGGTCTTATCAGAAGGGGTCTGTGTTTCCTTCCTTCTTCTCTTGACTATTTGTTTATTTTTATTTCTTACTTGCAAGTGGCAGTTACCCTGAGGTCTTTTGTATCTGTCTTTGCCTCTCTGAGGCAGGAGACTCAGAGAACCTCATCCTGGCACACAGCAGGTGCTCAATAAATGCCCTGGCACACAGCAGGTGCTCAATAAATGCCCTGGCACACAGCAGGTGCTCAATAAACGCCCTCCTGGGATGGGTCGCTCCACCCCACCGCTCAGCGTGAGGTGAGGAGACTTGTTCCTTGTTCGGGTTAGTTGGCCCTTGCCCCCCCCACCTTGGCTTGGGGTGCCTGCACCTGGCCATCCTGTTCACCCCCACCAACCAGTACTGGGGAGAAGGATATTTGGTTAAGAAAACGGAGCTTCCAGCTCCCTATTTGAACAGCTGCTCCACAGTGATGACAAACAGCAGTTCCGGGAGGTGGGGGAGCTCACTGCTCCTGGGGGCGGCTGGGGTCTCAGTCTGGGGGGGCAGGGCCCTCTGGCACCTCTGTCCTGGACCCAGGGCTGCCAGAAAAGCAGCTGCCTGGGCACAGCCGACACCTCACTGCGGCTGGGGGGCAGCACGGGCCTCCTGGAATAGGCCCCCAGCTCTTCTCCTGCAGCCTATTCTTCCCTCCCCTCCGCCCAGCAGCTAGTCTTGGGGTGAAGTCAGCACCCCTCACCCAGGCCCCAGAGGGCTCCCGCTGGCCCTGTGCACCCCGAGGGGGGAGGGGTGCCCAGGGCAGGGCTGGATCCCACCTCTCAGCTGATGGGATGACGCACCGGCACGGCAGCCTCCTGCCGTGTAGGTGGGTGACAGGGAGTGACTAATGTGTGAGCTTCGATTCTAAAAATTAACCCAGAGATCGTGTTGGTGGAGGGTGGGGGTGGGTGGGGAAGGAGAGGGACTGGGAATACTGTGTGGTCGGTATCCCTCCGCCCTGCCTCCCCCTCACCTCCCACCAGCCTTCTGGGCCTCTCCAAGCCTCAGCAGATTCTGTGGGTGCCTCTCCCTCCTCAGACCAGAAGGACCCCCCAATAAGTCCAGGGAGGAGGGGAGCGCCTGTCACTCCGGTGATGTCAGCACCCCCACCCAGAGGACTCCCCTCACTTGGTGCATGGCAGAGTGATGACTGGCCTGAGGTCTCCACAGAGCCCTGTGCTGCGCCCCAGCTGGTGGGTGCCTGGCTGGAGTCCCCTCGCTCTTCCGCCATGCCTGAGGCCAGAGCCCTGCCCAGGCCAGTGGAGGCAGTGAGGCCAGGCTCCTGGGCGCAGGCTGCAGCTGGGCGGTGGGGTGGCAACTGCACGTGAAAGAAAGCGCTAAGGTCTGTCTCTCTTAGGTCACCGCCCGGTGCGCCCGGCTAAGCTCTCCCAGCCAGTGCGCCAGTGGGGCTCAGTGTATCTGCCTCACTGTCCCACCTACAGATAAAGGAATGAGAATTAGGGCCCTCCCTGGTGGCACAACGGCTTGAAGCGCAGCACCACAGCCAGCTTCATCCACTTCAGCACGAGTTTGATCCCCGGCCAGGGAGTGACCCACAGGGTGCAGCAGACCTCTCCTGTCTCCCCGCTGCTCCCCTCAGCAGTGTGCTTCATCGATCTGCCTGTTCTGCTCCCCACTCTGTCTCTGGGGAATCCTCTCACCCCCTGCACCTCTGGCCTGTACCCCAGTTCCGTATGCATAAATAATCAATCTTAAAAAGGAAAAGAAATAAGAATTAGAGCTGGTACCTGGCGGTGCGGGCGTTCTCTTAACTCTCTTAGTCTCTAGAGTCTAGACTGGGGCAAGGGAAGGCAGCCTAGAGGAAGGAGGGTGAAGACAGAGCCAAGAAGCTGAGCTGTCTGTAAAGGAGTCGGATCTTTCAAGCTGTGGGGCTCCCCATGGTGAGGGGTGTGGGTGTGGAGCAGATAGGACCTCAAGATGGGACTGAAGGAACAGGGGCTGTGGGATGTGCCAGAGAGCAAAAGGAGATCAGGTCCGGCGGGATCAAGTTTCCGTGGCTGTGAGTACAGTCCTGGAGTGAGAGGAGAATGAAAGTTCTCATAAAGTTGGGGCGAGGAGGTCCTTCTTGGGACTTGGTTTTGGGACTCACAAGAGGGGTCGAGGTTTGGAAAAGAGTTTTTATTTTTTGTATTTCAGTACTTATTTTTTTAAAGATTTATTTATTTATTCATACAGAGCTGGGGTACATGCCAGAGATGTGGAGGGGGATAGGCTTCACCAGAGACAGAGTGGGGAGCAGAACAGGCAGGTCTACTGAAATCCACTGCTGAGGGGAGCAGCGGGGAGACAGGAGAGGTCTGCTGCACCCTGTGGGTCACTCCCTGGCCAGGGATGGAACTCAGGCTGCAGTGGCTGCGGACAGCTTCATAGTGCTGAAACTTAACCCCTGCGCCACCAGGGGGCCCCTATGTCATTATTTATTTTGCTTAATACCCATTTTAGTGGCCATAGTTTTCCAGTGAAGAGCGGCGTTGGCATGTGAAAGGAACCTGCTAGGAGGTTCCAAGAAGAGGTGTCTGTCCTGGACACAAAGCCGGAGATCCTGAGCTGAATGGCCATGGAAGAAGTAAAACATGAAATTGGGGAAGTGAGAGGCTACATGTTGTCAGGTTGTCTGCTCCGGAGGCTGCCTGGTCCTACGTTAACCACGAGATGAGATGACCCAACGGGGAGCGTGACCATCTCAGAGAAGTGAGAGGAGAGGGCGGCACCTAGGTAGATTCCTTAGGAGAATTGAAAAATTAACCAAGTGGCAAGACACGCTGTAGAGGAAAGTGGGCACGCCTGACCCCTAGTGGTGACCTCAGGACACTGCCCCTCCCTCAGCGCTGACTCAGCCAGCTGCAACAGAGGCGGGATGTCCCATGCACCGGTGCTGGGAAGGCGCCGCTCCCTCCGGACAACCCTCCTCTGTGGTCCTTCCTCAGTTCTGCCCCGCGCTCCGACAATGCGGAGCCTCCCCTGAACCGCGCGGCACGCCCCTG